TTAGGAATTCCTATGGCCACCTCTTGACTCCATCATCAGGACCCTGGACATCATCTAGTACTAAAGTGCTCAAAATGACAAATCCAACGAACCCAAATTCGATGCAATTCCGCCGTTTCATTTAGGAGTTTCTATGGCCACCTCTTGACTCCATCATCAGACCAGCTCAATGGTACGATAACATTGCATTGTCAACATACTTACATAAGTATCGGTTGAGGAAAACTGGTCTTAAATTCAGTTGTAAATAAATAAAAAAATGCATTTTTTACATTGTTGCGTTGGTGATCAGTAGGCCTAAATGCGCGCCGCGATAAGCTGTTATCACGTCATGCATCTTAGGGCTACTGGTTACAAAAACTGTTGTTTTGGGTTCTGGAAGTTCTGGAAGCCCGAACGTACTTGTCAGAACGCGTTTTTCAGCGTGTCTGCTGTATGTTTTTGGTAAATAGTAGGTACTGGATTAACGATTAACGGACTTACGATAATTTAACGGAAGTTAACGAGTCCGTTAACATTTTTTAAAGTTAACTTAAAAGTTAATCCGTTAATAGAAATGTTAACTTCGTTAATTAACGATTAACGGATTAACGAGTTAATGCCCAGCTATGCCTACGCCTTTGCTCGACAATAAATCACGTTTCTAGTCACATTGTCCTTCAGACATAAGACATTCATCCCACCTAAACTGGTCCGCAATAAGCAATAAAGTTCGAACTAATTGCATCTAGTTTTCACGACACGTTTCAATGTAAAATTAACAAGAATTAAAAAAAACAGACATACAGGAACGGAAAATTTATTTCATTTTTTATTTACTAATTAAATGATAGAACCTTTTTTCAAAACAACTCGAAAACAAATCTTCCATCGTGCGAGTTATAATGGGTCATATTGGTTTTAAGCTTTTGTAAGCGCCAAAATCTAACTAATACCTTTATAAATTCTAAAGGAAAAACACTTCTCAATTAAAGGCCTAACTTTAACCTTATTTGTATTCGACTTATGGATTTTAATATTCTAATATACTAATAAATAAATACAATAATTAAACGCAATATTATTTTCCTTTTCCATAGCTATTTTCCTTGATATTGAAATATATATAACGTTTACTATCTTATGTTTATGTATATTTATCTGAAAGTACCTAAGTATGTTCCTATAGTCACCAAACAAATTGAAGTATGATCGCCAACTCACGAAAGAACATTTCCAATTTCTACTAGCGACCATGGTTCATAATATTTCATAATTTTTATTATATTATTTACTTAAGACGTACTATCAAGTACACAAGTCATTCGTGGAAAATGAACACTTAAAATGTGTTGTTTATTATGCATACAATAATTATGCGCACGCGTTGACCGGCGTGTACAGACGACAGCACATCAACATACACATTTTTCAAAAATCACCCCTATTACAAGTAAATAAGAGCCCACAGTGTTTAGCTTGACGTGCCGTCGTCTGTGCATATAGTTTCCGCATTATAAATCCCATTTGTTATGACCAACGGCTATCGTTTTGATGGGTGGCCGTGCCTATAAGATAGCACACGTTTGCGCATCTCCACGTATTGTATGGGACTTTTGTTGAGAAAGACAAAGGAGGTGGGGCAATAAACATGAATATCATAGCAAGTACTTTTAGGTATTTGCTACTAATTACAAGTGATTATTTATTACGATGAGAGCTCATGGGTTAGAAGTAAACATATCCGGGGTAGAGATTTAGAGGGTATTTTATTGTTACTTAATCGCGTACCTATCGATATAATTTTGAATTATCCATTTTCAGTTAAAAAAACGTGCTGAGAAGCGCCAAATTCCCAACGGTCAAAAAACAAAATCTAATCAAACAGAATCTACTGGAGCTCAAACAAGGCTTCGTTCCCACCACGAGACGTCGAGGCCGCAAAAAACGTTACGATTGCCAAAAATATCGGCAGGCCTTCTCCGTAACGTTTACGTAGTTTCGATTTTAACCGTCACTGTCGCTCATGCTTTCGAGATGCTTTGCGTGAAAGAGATGGAATCATACGAAACTACGGATAACGTTTTTGGGAGTCTTCCAGCAACTTTGCTCACTTTTAGCTTAGTCCACGGGCCAAGTCAACTGGTTTGAATTTTTAAATAGTTTTTCTTCCAGTGACAGGGCCCACCTCCAAGATTCTAGAGTAGATTTGGTGTAATTTCAAGGTGGACCCAGTCACTCGAAGAAAGACTATTTAAAAATTCAAACCAGCAACTTGGCCCGTGGACCAAGCTTAAAGTGGGCCAAGTCACTGGAAGACTCGTTTTTGGGAGTAAGCCGGCTTCGGTAGCGATCACGTGCAAAAATCGCTGATCAAACACATTACCAAACGCTTACATAGTTACATAACACGTTTCGACCCGAGCGCTCGTAGCAGTAGGTCAACAGTCACCGAGGACGACCACTCTGCTTGCTAGTTTTGACATTTAGTCAAATAGGCTGCTTCGCGAGATCTTAACTGGTGTTGAATTTAATTTTATCAAGAATAAGTAAAAAATACTAACATCTATTTAGGATAATAAAATGAGTTCTGAAGTATAGTGAAATATTTCTTAAAACCTCCAAAACACACAATGAATTTTACCTATTCAGTATTTATTTACCTACTTAATAATTACTTTAATACTTTCGACTTTAATGTTTGTCTTCACGCGTGTTAACATCACATGGATACGACGTCATTTTGTTTATTATGTAAAAAATCACTTTTGTAAACTCTGTAAAACACCACATAATAATCATGGAAAGTTTTCAATCAAATAAAACTTTAATATCAGACCTTAAACTCAAGCGTGACAAACATCCACAATGACGTATAAAAACTTATTTCTTATAATTTCATAGACACAAGAAACATTGTGATAATCCAAGGGCTGGTATTGAAAATTTGAAACAAATGACACGAGTGAATAGGCCTGAGGACAAACGTAAGGTCAGATTAAGGAAAATAGTAATTAATAATTTTAATTATAAGAGAACGAAAATTTTTTCTCGCGTACGCGTAAGGTATAAATGTATGAATGGATTCTAGGCCTGATAGAGTATGTAAACTAAAAATAGAAATGACATTTTTAAATTTTGTGAAAAGATAAAATTGCTGCACTAGTATTTCTGATAAGCCATCGTCCATTTTACTATTTCAGACTTGAACACACACAGATAATGTGATTTTTCCGCTATTTACATAAAAATATGTTACGTGTTATGTACAATGATCGTTCCGTTCACATATTGACTTTCATGACCAAAGTCAACAGATATCCGACAAACGACTAATCGACTCCCGGCGACTCGATAAGCGGTAGCTCACGATCGATTCTCAGACGAGGCCGATTGCTTAATCGAGTACTTATTTATAATTTATATCGAGTACTCAGACCACTTTAAATCGTCCTTGCTCAAAAATGTGCGATACACTTGCCTCGATCAGATAAAAATTGACCGCGAATCAGCTTTTACATCCGCTTTTACAGACATATCATTATATCGATTAGCAATTTAATATGCCGGTGTTTAAATAGTTAATTAGTCAATCAAATAATAATGTATTTTTCAAGGATATCTTACGTTTAACAAAGAAAGCACTACTTAGTGCTACTGTGTTGCTACATAGGCTTGACAATACATAACTTTGACAAATGTAAAAATCTGTCAAACTCCATACAAAAAACACCGGTTATCATTAAAGTTACGGTCAAAGTTAGGTGGTGCAACTCAGCCTAAGATTTTAATCACGAGTTAACCATAGAAAAACGCAAGGTAAATTGTAGTATTATTAGCGATTATCATATTATCCTATGTAAAGCGCAGGGGCATCCCGATGTATTTGTATTTGCATGTAACTACATAATTGGCTTGGAATTATGCAACAAATCCTTAAAATGAATTAATCATTTCGCTTTAGAAAAATATTTTCCGTGGTCTATAGAATAAATGCAGCGATTACATTAGGCTCTTTATACACTGCAGACATTCTGCATTTGCGGTGATATAGTTGTTAATTTCCTCATTTACATGCATGCAGAAATGCAAATGCTGCAGTCTATATTTTCCTAATAAAGTAAGATATAGAAACGTACTATGCAAAGCGCGTTTTAATCTTGCGGTGCATCTATAAATATTTTAATTGATTCTTTAAAAAAATGCATTATTCGGTATGCTATCGCGTCGTTAGATCAATCCAAATACTAGTTGTAGTTGGCATTTTATAATTGCTGACTTCGCATAGCTACCGCGCGCTTGCATCGCTGCAAAAAATCGCAGTGTAGGGGCTTTAATCAGCATAAAATGCAAATTTTCATGCACATCACTTTTTGCTCTACATGATCTATCACTTAATGAAGTATTTTACTGTAAGTTACTGTTAAAAATACAAATATTTTATCATCATAGCGGTTATGAAATTGTTTTTTTAATTTACTGCTACATAAAAATTAACTCCTACATCTAAGAATACATAAAGCACTCATTTAGGTATGTTTGTGAATGACATATTATTAACCTGTTAGGAATAAAGCCATTTTAAATTAATATAGCCAGGACCTTGCCTGGCTATATTCCAAAAGATTCCAAAGTTACAAAGCAGAATAAAAGTCCATAACAAATGTTACATTTTCTTTAGGCTTAGGGGTTGTAACCAGCAGCATCACACGCGCGTCAAATCACTTTTCTCTCTTCATTCAACTAAGCTACAACCACACCAACGCCGCCGGCGCGATCTTAGGCCAATGACAGGTAGCGCGGACTGTCATGGGTCGCACTACCTGTCTTTAGCCTATGATCGCGCCAACGATGGCGATCTGCACGCGTTGGTGTAATTGATGCTTTAAACCTTCACTGTTTCATCGTCTAGTCACCCTTGCCCTTGTAAGATTGCACCAATGTTATCTTTAGGAACTTTATATTTATATTCTTTGAGCTTTCAATTTTCATTTGTCTTAATTACTCTCTCTTTGTTTCAGATACTGAAAGAGTTAGTGGTCTTCGATTGACAGTGAATCGAGATAGTATCTTTTCGTATTGTGTACCAAACTGACTTGAGTCTGGCATTTCCTGCTGACGCATTGTATAGTGAAGTGTTATATTGCCCCGGATATTCCGCCGCTTTCGTTCAATTAGGCTGTATAGCCTTGGTAAGTGGATTTTTTATATTTTTAAATACCAAGAGTCACTGCACATGCTTTGACAGAGCTATAATATATGATTTCGTTGTTGAGTGCTCATCATCTTCTGGTTGTTAAGTATCCATTGCAGGAGGATGACCCTCTAAATCTAATGGTAAATTACTAAAAAAATGTTATGGACACCTTTGGATTATGGACAAACACAAATGTATGATTTGGCCTACAGTCTCCATGCTGGCCAGATGTGCACCTATTTACTGTTAAGCTCTACTCACATAAAGGGTCGACCAAAGAACGCGTGTAGCCTGCGTGTGCGATAACGATGGCGATGGTGATCAATAGAAAGAAATCAATAGGATCGCCATAGCACACGCAGGCTGCACGCGTTGGTTTGGCCGAACCTTCAGTAAATACATCCTTAGTTTATTTATACCCGTATCACTTTATTCGTTTAACTTTCTCATATAAAATATATAGGTACGTAAGAGACCGACCCGCGTAAACACCCCATCTGGTTTCTGGTACCGGTTTCGATCCGGCTCGGAATTTTTCAGTAAATCACTTTCAACGTTAATTGCGATTACATAATTAATTTAATGTACGTTTTTTGCAAAGTTAATATACGCATAAGTGGCATTATTAACTGGGAATAACTATTGTACATTGACCTTGTAGCATAACCACGTTGCGAATCTAATAATTTCAATCATAACTTTTATAATGATGCGGTAATAACAAAAATGGCGATATCATTTTGGTTTTTTAGTTTATACAAAAATAAAAACATTGCTTCGATTCTTTTACTGTTTTGAAGACATTGACCGTAAAAATTAATATGTATAAGACAAAACCTTTTTGCAAAATCCGTAACTCATTAAAAATACCATAAATGTGTACAAAAAATATAAAGGGCAAATTACACATCCGCGTTAAAACAAAAAAATACCATTAACCACAGGTTAGAGTTTAAAGACGTGTGTTATTTAAAAAAAAACGCGTGATGTACTTATTACTATGATAATTGCTGCTCATTTTGTACGCATTATACTCGCGTTTGGTAATATTATGCATCTTTCACACATGCCAAGGTAACTGAGAGAGACGGGTATATGACAAAATCTTTTTTTTTAGAGTAAGGCCTTCCTGATAACCTTGATTCGTTGATGAACCTGACTGATTGTTGACAAAATTGTCATCTGTTGTAATTACACATTATAATTGGCAAAAGCATTGTTCCCAAGATATTTTGCATGTCATTTCCGCGGCAAGGTTCAACGTTCAATGTTTTTTGCTTGTTTTGGTATCATAGAATATACCATTTCAGTTTTTAAATATGAAATATATGAACGGATATCATACAGTGTTTGTAGAAATGATCAAACCCTAAACAATAATTAGCGATACTTTATTTTTACGAGTATAATCCGAAATAGGTGGCATATTAAATTGATATAAATTCAGTGACATCTATGTATTTTATAAAAATATAGTCCTACACAGAAATGTAATAAACAACGCGTTTTAATTTTACAAAAAAAAGTTTTTATGTTTCTATCGTGTAACCTTAAAATAATAAATAAATAAATATCCTTAGACATTTTACACTGCGCTTCTAGTCCCAAACTAAGCAAAAAAAGTGAGCTTGTAAATTTTCCCGCGCGCGGCAAATATAGGCTGTTCTGTGATGGAGACGAAAATGGCGGCGCTGTCATCGTGATGGGGCTGTTCCGGCTGTATGGCCGTATGCCCTTGCGCACAATGGCCAAGGCCGCACAGAAGTAATCAACGCATCCTGACTGGACAGATTAGAGGAAATCAAGAATGGGAAGCGTGGAACTATGATTATGACTATTAAATTATTGAATCCAGCTAATCACTACTTCGTCCGGCCTGGTACAGACGACAGCACATCAACATAACACTTTGGCATCCTATTATAGTTATAATAGTATAACTGCCATAGGGATTTTAAGATTTTTGACGTTGTCCTTGCTTCTTGCCCGCGATTTCGTACACGTGATTTTTTTTTTGTTACTCAAAGACCGACTTAAACACATTATTCTGTCGACCATTAATTGTTTTATATTTTTTGCTATTTTCATTGCATTTTGAGCTGAAATCGCACGATATTTGATTGAACCGAAACCCGTTTATCTAGTCCGTGAAAATAGGGCATTACTTCTTTAGTTATCTCGGGATTATACAATAGCAAATAAATACCAGTCTGCATTTTGAAATCGTGTGAGTTCAGTTATTTCGAAAACAATAATAAAAAATTAAGTTTCTTATTGCTTAATGCTGCTTTATGCTGTACACAAATGAAAACTTACTTACATGCTTGATGATGGAGTATTTTTTTAAGTTGCGTCTTTGGTTAATGGTGTCTACTACTCCATTCCTCATTCAATAACAAGACCAGCTCTTATTTTCCATTTCCCCTGTTAGTCTTAATTCCGGCTAAGGGTCTTTGTTGCCGATATGGCACAAGCCACAAAAGGCTACAAGATGGCATCTATACATTGCGCCGGCGCACGGAACCGGTTAGCACTCGTAAACACCATCTGCCTGAATGTTTATAGGAATCGGGAGCCTAGATGTTTTTGTGGTCAAAAACTAGTTCTGACTTTTCGGATTGCTTATCTTTATTTTTATCTCCTTCATATGAATATTTTGTATACAAAGATTGCTGTAGCTATGTCGGGAACACGTAAATAAGAATTCTAGCTACCTTCACATTCATTGTAAAGATGACATGATAGATTTTAATGAATCACGCGTTCAACTTAGCTAATAACATTCCGTTAATCTTAAACTTGTAATTTTTCTTAAAATAGAGTAACCGAAAGTCATCGGAAGACACTAATTAAGACGTTTATTTTACATTAAACTGAAAGTATCAAAGCATTACAAATCTATGAACCTTATAATTTTTAACAGCCAAAACAAATTGTTTATTTTGGCTGTCCAAAATACCAAGAAAATCTTTAGAAAGTGATTGAACACCCAGCATTTAATTACCATTCAATTGTTTCTAGAAACCTAGTAACGACGGCACATTGAACTAAACACTGAAGCGTCTTAAATGTCCTGATAATAAGTGCTATTTTCCAACAAAACTGTATAGTCTGACTGTATTGGCGACTGTACCAACCTCCAATTAAGAAGACTATCGTGAACCAAAAAGGTTATTGCTATTTTTAGGTAAATGAAAAAAATGGCGGAAAAATTAATAACGAAGGTTGCATTGCCCTTGTTCATTTAATGACGTACGGTCTGATGATTCGCTCTACAATATGGCAGCGTTTTTATACGAATAAAGTCACTTTTCCTTCTGTTCATTTGACAACAACAATACAATTTTATTTCAATGCATCTTCGGTTCTGTGATTTAGCGGGGTCATCCTAGATTATTTCCTGAATAAGCATATTTTTATATTGAAATCCATATTTGAAATCTGTCTTAAATTCGGTCAATAAACTTTTGCACTTGCCATAGTGTGTCTCGAAGCGCTGGTAGGGCCCAAAAGACAAGGAGACATGTAAAGAACCCCTTAAAAGTTTTTGACGTTCATAAGTGTCAAATATTAGAAAAAAAAAAGAAAAAAAATCCATTTTCATTTTTTCCCCAAAACACAATCACGATAGCACTTATAACCTCATGTATTAAAACTGTATATTACCTTCGTGTGCGGTCTCACATGCATGTGTGCGTACGCGCAAGGGAAAGTGATGGGTGTGTGCTGACATCAACCTTCGAGGCACTTGTTCTGAAACCTTGTAGAGCTTTGACAAAAAGCTGCAACGGAAATCTACGAAGCTGGAGAAATGAGTTTGACGGACGAGGCAGGTATGCTTGCTGCACGCCATAATCCGTGTTAGGTTTGCATTCTTGATAAGAGCAGTTTTTGAATTGTAACCTTTTTTGTGTACCTGGAATTGCTATTAGAGCCTAATAGCACCTTAAAAGATCTATAATGTTTCGGACACTTTTAGTGCTATTCATAATTTGCAGACTGCATTATGAATGAATAATGTGCACTAAAAGTGTATACCATAGTACATATCAAACCTGATCAGCCGACATGAAACGTCAATTTTGACAGATTGAAGAAATATGGCCGCGACACGAAGCCGCCAGGCTGTCGGCGGGCTTGTTCACATGAGTATGAGTACCAAGCATACTGTAATATTCTAAGAATATTTTCCCATAAACAAATCGTAATCAATACTATTAGTATGCCAACGGTGATTCTGGGGTCAATACGTATTGAATCTTCCTCTGCAATTTGCGAAACTATCCTCTATAACTCCACCACTGTATCTTACCAATCGAATACAGCTCTTACGCCTTTATTATAAGACTTATTCTGTCTTATATCAGCAGTTTCTTAGGTCCTTTTCTGAGCAACCGGGGGTAAGGACCGCAGTGGAAAGCGCACCGACCCAGTTCTATCCCACAGAACCTGTTCCTGCTTTACATAATCCAACGCGGTGTCGCCGTCACTCGATACTCAACCCATGACAAGTGACAGGAGCTGATATTTTAATACTCTGCAATTTGCGTAATAGTCGAATATCATTTTTTATTTGGATTATGAAACTGATAGTAATTTTGAATAAGTTACGATGAAAGTTAAATTTTTGAAGATATTTGCAGCATACAATAAGTTGCCCCAAATATTATTCCATTCTAGTGTTCAAAGAAAGATCTAGGTAAAACGTGATGTACCGCCAGACTGGTAATGGTGGGAGTGGTTTAACGATAGGGTTGACCACATTCTTCAACATCAACTTATTATCTTTTACAAGTTCTTATTTTTCAGACAATTCAAAAATGTCTGACATTGACAAGTTGTAAAAAATTAATAAGGTATTTATTAAAACAAAATTACAGAGTCTTCTCCCTAGATTTTTAACTCTTACAGACAGATATTGTCTTCACAAAAGTAGCTACAATAATCAGTTGAATGCTGGCAACCCTAAATCGAATACTGACCGTTAGTCGATTA